TTTTCCTTCTTTTCTAGTTAATGTGTACGGCTTTGTCCATTTCATTTCTGCTCGTCTTTTTGTTTGTGTTGAATGCATCACATCGAACAAGCAGCCCAGATGGTTATTAGGCCTACTCCGACTCCGAACCCAGCGGGCTGCTTTCATTTCCACGAATATGAGTGTCTACAAAAATAGCAGCAAGGGAGATAATTTATGGGGTTTATTATACATGATCTTATTAACATTTTTAATAGACCGTGATGTGTTTGTTGACATTTTTTAAAGTCACAAGAAGCCAATATTTTGTTAGTTTATTCTTCAACTGAGCTGAGGCCCACTTTCTATTTCACATAATGCCGCACAAAATCAGCCAATCGCTAGTCTCCAAACCTTAGTGCGGACTTGGCATGCGCGCGGTTTCCTGTCGGAGCCTTCCGTAAAAGAAATGTTTGTGTTCGATATGATTCAGATTTCAACACCTTTCTTTGTGGAATATTTGCATAACTAACCCGTACCTAAGTGTATAGACCACACACATCATTGGTCTCACAACTCAGGTAAGACTTTTGTTACGATTGTATTGAATTGTATGTCTATTTATCGCATTTTTCTCGTCTTTGTGCACACCCTTGTCAAAATCCAACACTCGACATGATTCGTCGCATTTGGCGGTTTACGCCATCAATTTTTAGAGTAAAATAAACGTATTTGCCTCTCCTGTCTGTGCTAACTAATGTATTGAATGTTTACCTTTCGGAAAATGTTGTTTAAATAGGTTGGTTTTATTGTTCATTTTCTGAAATAAACAATAATTTGGTAAGGACTACGAAGTCAAAAATTTTACAATGGGTTGCTTCCCCTGGTGCCCTTGCTTCGCCCATCCAGCTGCTGCCGAGCCAATGGTTTCGTGCGGCGTGCAAAGGCTAATGGTGTGAGAGAGTAGCCGAAAGCGAGCGGTCTGATTGTGCACAGGTAACCCTGTGGCACGTCCCCTCACCACATTTTTATTTTCATAGTTGTCTGTCTTCGCTCAAATATGAGCATGTTTTGTTTTTCTGTGTCTGTGAATTTATAAGTTTTCCCAGTGCTGAAAAACAGTATCAAAACAAAGGAAAGTGGTTTTTCCTCCTAACTTCAAACTCCGTACCACTGCCGGCTTCAGATTTAGAGTCCTTTATAGAGCTTGTTACAAAATCGTAGTCTAGTTAATATAGAAGCCAGAGGTAGACAAATAAGATCTAGATCTAGATTCTAGTTTGTCTTGTTATGAATATTTGATAAAATGTATCTTGATAATATTTTTATTGTTATTAACAGTTATTAACATGTTCTTTTCTTTATCATTTATGTTTAGCTTAGTGTTGCATCCCACAAAATATTTGTTTACACTTTCTCTGACTGGTTTCAATACCATGCCAGTAAGTCACCAAATTAGGCCTATTTTTTAGAGAGAGTCAAAGCTTTTAAGGCTTTTTAGATCTAGTGCATTTAGGCTTGATTTTTCAAATTAATTTTACTTACAACTTACAAATAGGCCTACTTGGCCATGCAAATTTTACATTGTAGATCTAGATCTAGATCTAGATTTAATTCATTTAATAAGTAATTAAAGGCCTTTTTAAAAGTCATTTCACCACATGAGGAGACTTCAGGAACAGGAAACAAGGCAAAGTGTAAATAATATAGGTATATTTCATAATATTCTTGGCTAAACTGAGTTGTGTAATAGTGTAGGACTGTAGTTGTAGGCCTATTTATTGCATCGGCCTTTAGGAATGTTTAAATTCGAAGTGACTATTTCTCCGAACGTTCGGGAAAATAAAGCTGAACTCTATTTCTCCGAGCGGTTTCCGATCTCAAGAATTTTTTGGTTATTTGCGAGATTTAGGCATCATCCTTTCATTCTGACATTCTTCGAGGACTGGGAAGAAGCATTTTTTGCATGAAATTCAATTTCTAGAGCTAGAGATTTTTAAATGTCTGAATATTCAGATACTTTAATCTCAGTCGTGGTTGGGGCAACGTTCCCGGACTTACTCCATTTGAAAATGCCTCCAAAAGGTACTGCGAGAAATCAAGACTGCTCGACCTTGGCAAACTAAAATCCTTCATGTAAAAAAAATAATCCCTTTGGGAATGCGGTCGATAAGAACACCCATTCAGACCCAATCGGACACTTCCTACAGTATCAGTCTTGCTTTTTTTCATCCCAACAGGCTGGTTTTGTTATTGAGTCTCGTCAAAGATCGTTCATAACGAGATAGTTCACTCAGCCAAAAAAGTGTCTGCGTAAGTCTGCGCATTGCCTCGGATGACGCTGCAGTCTTTTGTTTTGAAGCTCTCTTTCGTTTCTCCCGAAGAAGAATAGGAAAAGCACAGTTAGTTAGTTTCACTTTTATTGTTTTTCACACAAGTAGGGTAACACTGGTCGCAAAGTCCGCTCTCTTTCAAAGAGGGGGCCACCAAATTTTGAGGACACTTTTTTAATTGGCTCAAAGAGAGGAGTGAACCATCTTGTCATGTACGATCTTTGGTGTCGTCCTAAATATAAGTAAACAGTACTGAGGCTGTGTGTGTGTTTGTAGGTGAATCTGTGGTTTTTTTGGTTAAGCCACCGATTGGGTGTTCTTACTGACCCTTGGGAATGGCCTTCCATTAGGATGTTGGCGTTGGGTGTTTAATGTTGTTACATGAAGTATAAGTTATAGGCTTAGGCTGCCATTCCAGTAAAAGATGTTTGTTAGTAGTCTCATTTTTATTTTCACTCCTGCACAGATACACTGCTTTTGAGGGTTGAACTGCAGTATTTTTTTAAGCAGATCAAACATGGTTATGATTTTCAAAAAAAAATTCAGACTTCTGCAAAATATCAATTTATGAATGGGGGGAAACAGGAGAGGGGGGGGGGGGGGG